TGTTTACAAAATGCCAGAGACAAGTTTTAAATTGCAAAAACGGAGAGAAAGGGCTGAAAGTTCTGAAAAAAGTTAAAAAAAAAAACAAAACAAAACATAAAAACAAGCCACTTGATTCAACTTTCTATCAAGAACATCGCTTTTTCTGGAGAGACATGGTATTTTTCCTCCTTTTTGATCTGCTTTTTCTCCAAGCTGCTACCCCCTAAAGAGTTATAAATTTGTAGTGTACTCTACGGCTTTTCTGGAATAAAACAAATAGCAATCTGTCAAACGATACACATTTAGGCTCATGTCTTGGTTTCAAAGTACTCCGATTGTCAGCAAGATTAGTTTTCACTAATTTCGGTATCATTCTGTATCTTCAAACGAAGCTGCTAAAAGGATTAACACTTCGTATTTTGTTTTGCTTTCTAACTATCATTAGGATGAAGGAAACAAAAGCTACTACTAATCTTGCGAAAAGAATATGCTAAATACTTTCTATTCGTAAAAGATATGGAATGTTTGCTTTCTCATCGGTCAAATTTGTTGTTCTTTTATTACGTGTTGGTTTTTTTTGGAAGCTGTCATTTGTAGGGACGGAAAAAGGAAATTTCCACTTAAAAGAGTTTTCATATATTCGCTTTGAATCATATAAGGATGATTTGAATTTAGGGTGTTTCTTATCCATGTTATTTTACTTTTCTTTTGCTAGAACTATCATTAGAATAGAGGACAATTTGGAAAATATTCATTTTAACCATGAAGATCCCTTTATTTGGCTTCTGTCACAGCCATTTCTTCCACACACTACATGTAACACGTTTTCAAAAGTTTCTTTTTGTCGCGTAGGCGGTGTAACGCTCAATTCATTGATAAACCCACAAGTTTCTTACCTTGCCGACGCGTTAAGAGTCCAAAAATTCGAAATGAAGATGATATTTTCTGAATATTAAAAAGACTTATCTCTGGGAAAAATGCCAGGGTAATCGCTTAGGTTTAATTGCTTCCCCACAGGGTCCTAAGAACCTTTAGCCATTTTCATTTTCACTATCACAACAGAGATCTTTCCTTCTCTTTGCATGGCGTTGTAAATTACTTGAGTCTGAGCAAAGACGGTTGTAAACACCAAAAGTAAAAAAATAATAACCTCTGAACCTATTTTTTGCAATTACAGTTTGAAATGTTCTCACCACCAAGCGCAACAACTGTGCTCTGGTGCAAATTGAAGAGTCTACAAGCTTTTAACCGACGCGTTTCCGATGTGTGGACGATTCGCTTCCGCGCACTAATGAAAAAGGCGAAACGACATACTCGAATAAATTACGATTACAGAAGTAAAAATAATAAGAATGATAAAACAGAGCTGTGCGCTGTCGTGTTGCGGCTCAGACGATTGAGTACGGAGTACGTTGTGTAATGATACCGCTATTTTTCATTATTAACGGCTTTTAACAGCGAGTTTTAAGTGGTCGCAATATGATGTAAGCGGCTTATATGATGTCGTTCTCTGAAAGGGAATCATGGTTGTAATTATATAGGTGCTGAGAACACTTTTTTGTAGAAGACTCACACTAATCGTAGCGATTTCCTCTTCTCGATGCGGTAGCTCTCGCTAAAATATTGCTCTCCTTGGCAAAAAAAAAAGAAAAAATCAAAGAAGGGTTTTTTTACATTGAGATAACTCTAGAAATGAGAAAGATAATTTAAGAAAACCTGTAAATTCGTAAATTTCAGACAGCTGTGGTAATACCGTTTAATCCAACAGATGCGTTTTGGAACCTTGCTTTTGTTCAGATATTTGCGCGCAAATTGTCTGCATGAAATGAGTTTCGAAATTAGTTTCTGGTACGGCCCGTTTGCAGTTTTTAAAAGATTTACCTTTTTTTATTGTTCGCGGAAGTGTGTGTATATGTTAAGTAAAGTATCAGTCCCTTTTTTATTACAATTCACACTTAAACGCCAGCTCTATCGTGTTGTTGAAATAAGCATAAAGGCTGTGGGGAAAACAATTCAAATTAATTAAATTTTTTTCAGGCAGAATTTAAAAGAACCGAACAGGTTTAGTGACGTCGTGACTATTTTTGCGATCGCTGGCATTTCTTGTCAATGACGAAGTGACAATTTTGATATGTCTGTCGGTTTTTTTTGTAAAAGCTAAGCTTGCGGAGGGCGTTTCTTTGCCAGATCAGTTGACCAAACGCAGCAAAATCATTTCGTTGTTTGCTTAAGGGTTTGTAGCTAACAAGCGAACTTTTCCTCGTTATACATCTTTGATGCATCTCTCACTCGCGGTCGGCAGTTACAATTAAATCTTTGCCATAAGATATGCTCTTCCCGTTTGATTAGCAAACTTAAATATCACAATATAACAATCAGGCTACATAATGCAACGTAACAAAATGGATTTACTAGCGATTTTCGTTATGGAAAATTAAAGTCAGAATCCTTTTTATTTAAAATTTAAATTTCAGCGTATTATTTGTACAATTCAGTTTGTGTAATTCAATTTTTGGCTCTGGTATCAGTTCAGTGTTTCATTTTTGGATATCAGATTGTTTCTGAGATGTTTTTTTTTCATGGAGTGCTCTCAGCAATAAAGTATTGTCGGCTTCTCATTGTAACAAACCACGCCGAACCATAGACCAACCCTCGATAAACAATTAGGAAATAAATTCCAGTAAGATACAAAAGTAGCCAAAGAGAATCATTACTGATATGAGCGATTAGACTTTACTTCAAATCCACATTAACATGTACAGCTCGTGTTCGCAACGAAATGAAAGGCCAAGAAAGCGTAATGTGCACGAACAGATTGTTATGGCAAAAATAATAAAAAAAAAACAATATTTTTTCTTTTAGACATCAACGCACTAAACGTTTTACAAACATTTTCATTGTAGGGGAGCCAGTCTGTACTTTTTTTTCTCGACCTGCTTAATGTTGTCCAAAATATATTCGTTCTTCATTAGGAAGAAACGCACACAAATTTGGTTCAATTTACTTGTTTGCGAAGCCTGAACTTTGTTCGCTTTTTTGCTCGTTTTTGTCTCTCGTATGTTCAATATCACCCGGGAAATAAGCTTCGTATCACCACCTCGACGGTTTCACTTTACGATATCTGACGAAGAACTTACTTCCCGCTCATGAGAACATCTATCGTCAATGATCGATTGAAAATTATAAAGAAAGCACTCGGTTTAAGTGGTGAACTGTATCTTTTTACGTCAAACTTGCTGGTATTGCCCGGGAAATAAATCTCGTCTTTCGTAATAAGGGGTTATCTCGATGTCTTCGCGGGGAAATTACGTTAGAGAGTAACATCATTCGTCGATTATAAGTAAAGGTAGTTGGTTGAAGTGGTGAATAACTATCAGATCCCTTTTGTCCGTGTGATATTGACAGAGGACTTCAGAAACTAAACAGCCCGTCATTTCTCTGGACATGTTTTGATATGATACGTTATGGGTCGCGCTCCTAAATTCAGCGAAGAATCATTATTCGTGTTGAAATTTGTCGCTTTTTTAGAAGAACACGTGTTTAAAAGATCAAGCAATTTTTTGGCGCGTTTGTACAAAAATCAAACGTCACTGTTATCTGTTCGTGACTTTTCTGTGCGCGCTGAATTGTTTGGATCGGACGAGGTCGGAGTTCGGTTTAACTCAGTCTGAAGGGTTTTGTATTCTGTTTGGACAAATCAACGCTTTGCGGGTAAATGTGCAGCGCTGTTAGGCTGATAAACTCAAAGACTGCTGTGCAATTGTTTTGTAAAGTCTGTCCCCTGACCTTGAGTTCACAACAACTAAATTTCATGTTTGGATTTCACTTGGATTAATAGTATGCTACCTTGAAATAAAACTCGTGGCTTTTAGTTATTCGTTTGCGTGTCAACCCAGAAAATTAAGTTATTTTTTTTAAATGCTTTACTTTTCGACCGAAGCTAGGAACATGTGTTGAACGAAATTGTTATCACAATCGAGTCAATGGTAAAGATGTTTTGATTTCTGTAAAGCTGCAAGAAATGCGAGTAATTTCTTTTGACGTATGGAGCGCCATTGTATTACAGCCGTTCATAAAAATGCGTTGAATATGTTTATCATAGTTGCGCGAAAGAGTATTGTTCAACGGAGAAAATGATCCGAAATTTATGATCTTTCTGTGGGTTTTTGTAAATCGATAATTGGAAATCTGTAAAGAAGCGAAATAAAAGGGAACACAGGAACATTTCCATACATATAACTTATAAACCGATATGTTACATCATTTTCTGATTTTTCTCGGGTAATCATTATTGTTACTTTGTAAAGGTTTTTTTTTCTTGCAAGAATTATAATCCTATAAGGGAAATTTATGAATTCAACGGTAAATTGGGAATAGAGAATTTGTTCTGCGAGACAAATTTTTCTTAGAATCTTCCTCTGGTCAGCGAAATTCAAAACAGAAGGTTAGGTTTATTTTTATGTTAATGACGGTTGTGTTTGGTGCTCAATTGAAAGAAAAATTTTAATACTGCATTTGCCGTTTGAACACATATGTTACTTGTTCCGTGGAAAAGGACAGTGTTGAAAGGACAGCATCGAAAAATTGGCTCCAAATATACTTGTAACAGCTTTAGTTTTAACTCGCCAGCTCAAGTTCTCGGCGATAAAATCTTCAGTTCGAATAATGTGCTTAGAACTTCTTATGTAAATTTTTTCCAAGTTGTTTTTTTTGTTTGAAGGTATTATAGCCACTGAATGCCCAGACTTAATTGGAACTTCCGATAGAAAGGGTTAGAGGAAAAATGCGTTTTCTGCGTGAGCCCGTCCACGAAGAAAAATGAAGGAGTGAAAAGTTTAACTCGTCAGTGAGTAAAATAGGGTCACTGAGTATTGTCCACATGATATTACGGTGCGATTCTATTTTCATTAAACTAAGTGCTTTACTCTAACAACGCCTCAGAATTAAGTCGAATGCTGCCAGAATAGTTAACGTAGATTTATTATGAACCGATAATAACAGCAAGAAAATGCGCTTACCGTTCTTTTTGTAGAACATAATTTCTTTTTTCAGTTCCACTTGCGCTTTGAAGGCTTTTTGAATGCTTGCTATATCCTCTTGGTTTGTCTCCAAGCCGTATAAAAAATTACAACCACAACTTCGCCTCATAAGTTCGCTTCGCGAAAATCCCGTGAGCTCACAAAAGCCATCACTGCAATACACTATAGGGTAGTTGTTCTTTTCTTGAGCGCCACCGAGGACAAAGTTGCTATCTAAGGACAGGCAGGAAATACCGAGTGTTATTACTAATAATCGGTTAGGCAATAAGCACTAGTTATAAACGGATGGCGCAGTACTAAATTTAATGTATTTCTTAGTTGCCGTTAAATTGTAGCTGCAACGCCGGCTTTTGGCTGAATGACATTATAGCGTACTGCAAAACAATAACAGAATTGTACATTAGTCAATCACTCACTGCCTCGGTCGAATTTCTGTGCGATCGTCTCCAGAAAAGTGTTCTGTGGGGCAAATCGTCCGCGGCGAATCGGCATTCTCTCTCTTAGTGGGATTCGTTCGAAGCTGATTCTTATAGAATGTTCGTTGTTAAGAGTGAGCCTCCGTCGAGAAACTCAGTAATTCCTGTAGAGCTGGCATATTTTGAGTGGATTTAAGATACATTATATTTATGCCTCGTGTAAATAGTGTTCGGTAGGCGGGAGAAGTTGACCTTATAAACAAACATCGACCAATTCACTGCCTCGTCCGCGATGGCCAGTCCAATTTGGCGCCATAGGTAGCTTTTCACTCCAGAGAATCTCTAGCATGGTGTCTGCTTGAATGTTACGAACAAAAATACTGTTTGATGAAGCGCCTGGCTGAAATAAAATCAAATTTGGTAGTAATTGCCTTGGCAAGCCAATCAGGGTCGAGAAACTTAGTCCAATTGTCAATCAAGCTTGGCCGATCGAACACCTGCTTACGACATGGACATTTAGCCGTGGCAGTCTTGTGTTAGACGCTATGAGGGAGTCTGCAGCAGAAACAAAAGACTCTCGTAACTTTCCTTGAAATAAGAGACGTTATTTATAAAGTACTAATAGATCCCCGCCGTTGTAGACAGTTTTAACTAGATCTCAAGGCGGCTGGTGCACAAAGGACAATTTTGCCCGCTGGCCCAAGGTCTTTATGTTTTCAAACTGAAAATAAGGAGGATGGTCGTGTTTTTTTTCACTTAATACTTATGTTTTCAGTTAAAACTACCTCTAATTGATCTCACTTGGACGTCTTTTTAGTGTAGATGCATTAGAATAGGGAATTTAGACAGAAAAAAAATCAAAATCATGTTTTCAATGAATTTCAAATTATGCAAAGTGTGAACATCGATCTGATATTTCGAAAACTTGCTAATTGCAACCTATTACTGGCGCTGATGAAATTTCAATGTATCCAGGCCTTCTTGTACTCCATGATTCCTCGTCAAATTTTCACCTCACGTAGTCAAAAGTGGTGCTCTGATCTTCACGTGGGACCGCGGAAAATCATAATCGGTATACTGGCAACATTTGGTTGCAATTTTTATGAATACGAGCACAAAGAATCATCTACATCATGGTGATCTTCTCTGTGTAACATCACAATATAAACAGACCAATGCATGTATTCTTGCACATACTTGCCAGAGTACCTTGCTAAAAGATTTCTTGATGTCTTAATTTTTTGTACAGCCCCTGTTTTGGTTTTACGATCTTAATTTTTGTTTGCATGACAAGTTTTTGACGGCGACAAGAGTTACTCGGCAACCAGGAAGTAGTTGTTGAGAGCTTTTTCGTGTTCCTGTCACTTGCGACGAAATTCTGTCGTCTCCCAGAGTTTGACTTGAAAAGTTTGCCTTTTATAATGCCGGATAAGGCCTGGTATGTGACGTGGGACACAATTACCACAAGAGTATGGGGCTTGGGTGTAATTTGTATTCAAAATGTAAACGAAAAAAATTTACATGTAAGTTTTAAACTTAGGAATTATGACTAGCTATCATTTGGCCGCTCATGAATCTTCATTTATTTTATGGCAAAATAAAAGATGAAGGGAAAAAAAAAAGCTGTTTGGCGACTTGCAAAGGACCTGTTGTCTGGCGGGCGTTAATCGGGTGTTACCAAAACATAATTTGGTTGTTTGGACTTTGCCGTATTTATTTCCTTTGCATAAGAGTTATTAAAGGTGTACAGAACAGGTATCAATAAAACTTTGCCGCCAGCATTTGCTTGGCGCCAAAATATCACGAAGATGGGCTAAAAGTTATCTCAAATTCATTTGAAAAGCTGTTTTGTTGTTGTTTTTTTTTAACTTGGCATGAATTAAGCTAACATGGCAGCTGATGTGCACTTTCTACTATTTACGAGATAACACCTTCTTGTGGCGCGTTTCGAGTCATTTTCGCAGCTTTAAACTTCGCAAAAACAGTTTCACACTTCAGGGGAGGTAGCGAAATTGGCTGGACCCGAGTGAACACCTCGTCGCTGCGAGCTGCTAACAAGACCAGCAGTGAAACTGATAGCGAGGATCTTAAAACGTGACAAATTTTTTAACTTTTGAAATAATAGCAGCAGTACACCGTTGGCTGTTTGCCTGTGTATCTTAAGTGCCAATTGTCTTGAAATTTTTCATAAAGAAACTAAGTCGATGACGAATTTTCGTTTATCGAGTTCTTTGTCACCTTTTCATCGTCAAGTCAAATAAGATTCCAAGGAGACCCTTCATCTTTTCCAAGAGTCATATTCAAATTCTCCCCAATCATTGTACTCATTTCTTGTAATGTTAGTAAGAAAAACTCTTTGCTCCATCTAACTTTTTTCCTGCCTTTTCTTTTTTACCTGTTATCTTCTGCAAATTCTTTCGAAGGAATTCTAACAGTTTCTAAACATGGTTGGTCCTAGTTTTATTCGTAAATTTACCAGTAGATTTGTGTATCAATTGGTTATTTTTTCGAAGATAGCCAAGAAAGAGACGAAAAAATAAACCATAACTTTGCCAGATTGACGCGAATGAAGTGATGTAAATGACGACAGAGCAATTTGCTGTACTACCAATTTATAATAGAGAAGTTTATTGACCATCCCCTTTCTTTCCTTCTCTTGTTAGCCTTTTAATTTTTTTTATAGTACTAAAAGTGTCTTCCCTTTTCGCTTTTAGTAGGACTTCACGACAATGTAGCGAAGATCAGAATAATTGTGCACGTCTAACAGTAAGAAAATTGTTTGCTTGAATTAGAGTTAATTTTTACTTTTTTCGTTAGGTAACTCTAATTGCTCTAAAATATATTTCTAAAAATATATTTTTCCTATCATTGGCAGAAAAAGAAAAACAGAAAAAAAAAACCTGGAAAAACTGCTAGGTAATGGCAGACCCCAAACTGTAGCAAGTTCTGTTGGTATTTTTATGTGTAAATATGGAAATATTTATGCACAATTTTCATATTATTTTTATACGTTTCTTGGCGTGCATGTACATATATTGTCCAGGCGTGTCTGCCCACTGAATCTTTTATGACTCTAACTAGAGACACGATAAATCTGCAGGCACACATCCAGTTTTTCAGGCGTAGGTCTCCCACCGCGAAATAAAGGAAGACATAACAATTCGGAGTCAATAATACTATATCTGGCGAATTCATAGCCCAAGGCTTGCATTATTTACTTTATTTAAAGTCTTGATTTTTTAATGCAGCTGAGGATTTTGTGCGTTAAGAAGCTTTGTGACTTAATAGTCTTTGAAGTTTTCCGAGGCTGAAACTTAATACTCAGCCTGCAAATTAAAAGTGAGAAAACTGTAATGAATTTATCACCGTAAAATGAGTATTACTTCATGCAAAACATGTTATGCAAATATAATAGGCCTATCATGGGAGAAAATTTTGGGATTTAAAGCTTATTCCTCCAAGGACTCAGTAAATCGATCTAGTACACCAGTTTCTTCACGAAATCTAACGATTACTAGGAGTAAGCTATGCTTAACTAAATATGACATGCATGGCCGTTTTCCTTAGGAAGAAATTTTCCGTGGTTCAGAATCCCAAGGGTTGTATGCAAATGATATCTAGTTTTATCATTTTCCCAGCGCCGTCATACTCCTCTGTGTTTCTCTACTCTTGTAGGATATCTTTAAAGCTAATGGCTTTGCATGGTTTTGAGAAGTGCAAACATTTTACTATTTGTAGCATAAAAATTTCCATAGTTTAGAACCATAAACTTTATAAACAGATGAAAAATTTCTTTTAATCTTCTGTCGTCGCCATGTCGTGCTGTTTTCTAGTTTTTTTTTTTTAGTGTCACACTGTTTTAAGATGTGTTGAGAATTCACCATTTTTAACTGACAGCTCACTAGTAATTGGCTCGTTCTCGTGCTAATTGGTTTTGTAATTTATACAAAGAGACATTTCCGTTGTCCCATTTCAGACATCTGTTAGGATTTCACAGTTTTCGAAGCCATTGTGTTATTGAGATATTATGTTTTCTGCAGTGCGCCCTGTTCTTATTGATGTTATGGTATTAATAGTTTGCATAACACTTCCCACAAAGTATGTTTTGCTTCGCAGGTGTTTTTGCATAAAGGTTGCACGGTTTTTTCACCTTAAAAGCGGTTTCTGCTCTGTTGTTTCCTAATGTGTTGTCACAAACTCTATCGGGTTCAAAACAAACTCCAAAAAGCATTCGACAGAGAAACTGTAATGGCCCAGATTGGAATCCTCCATGGACTCAGATTAATTTTGCTTTCGTTAACACCTTTCTCTACTCAACGATTACTGTCTTTCTTTATCTATATATCCTGCTTAAGTAATATTTTGAGATTCAGATCTGCTAATATCGTAGTTCTGAAAACCCATGTATCGTGACTTTCTTCGCCGTTTCATGTCGCTGCTTGGTCGTGACTGAAGTCTTTAAAAGATCTTATCAATATGTGAGGTCTGAAAGAGATCAAGTACACCCGGTTTTGCAAGCAAATGAACTCATTGGCCCGAGATATTCATGCGACTGCTAAGTAAGCCTTGAAGTAAAATCACTCACTCAGCCATGCAATAAAGTTTTTTTTCGAATTTCTGTTTCTAAGAACTTGCAAATGGACTATTTGTCGCAGTTGGCATCCATTTGGCCAGCTTGCACCCTTTTTTTTTTACTCACTCTCTCACTTGAGGATTGGAGTATCATTTGACAGACCCGTTTTGAAATATTTTTGAATATAAATGTCTCTATATTTGAAAACTACCTTTAAAAGCGCTTTAATTGTGGCACTCAGCCAAATTCAAATGTGATAAAAGGCCGGTAGACATGGCAACATAGTTTGCGTTGTGTTATGCGTTTTGCTCCCAGGAATATAGCTATTAAAATGCTTTTGAAAAAGGGGGGTTGTTTCGTACCTAATGGCTGCTACATCACGCAAACCATTAATTTAAAATAATCTACAGGCCGATTTTAAGGTGTTGAATTCAGAAATTCTTAATAAAATTTCCTTTACTTTGTATGATGCCTCACGGGAAGGACGTTTGGGACACGAAAGTTTCCGTGTGAGGATTTCCAAAGGATTAAGTGCTTATGCGGCTGGTTAGAAGATTTTATAATAAAGAGATTTTCTGCGGCTTTACATAATGCAGTTTTAGAATTCGCCTCGCGAAGGATTCAAAAGCATTTACGTGATTGTTTTGTTTTTGCTCATTACTGTTTTGTTTTTAGCTGGTCATGCAATCCTGGGCATTCGCAAAGGAGACATGTTTTGCCCCGTTTTTACCGTCAATTTAGTCAATGTCAACCAAATTTGCACTTGTGCCACTGTCATGCCAAAGATCTACATGGAAAGCCTGATGCAGGCATTTCGACTATCGCTGTTTCGTCTTGTTCTTAACTTTAAAGACCAGGCTGGCCAAAAATATATAAAAAAAATTCCTATCCAGTGACTTATCTTTTTCATTAAGACGGTTAGCTTGTGGTTATGGCTGAGTCAATCCCAGGGAGGCTTTAGAGGTAAACAGTACTTTCTTATGTACGGAATAGTGTTAATGTTGCGTAAGCGAGGCTGAGTAATAGCGAAGAAAAAAACCTTTTCCATCTAATGTCAATCAAGGGCTCATAAATGAATCTAAAATTATGGGTAAATTACCTGCAAATCACTTGCCAGTTCCAAGGCAAATGACTCATTTAAGTTATTCAGTTCAAAACCGTGCTTTAGAATTGTAAAGGCTGACTTCGCAAAACGTGCAAAAACAAGGGTGCATACTTGTTCTGTTTGACAGCATTCCCGGTGACTGATCAAAAGATCTGCGTTAAAAAATAGCAACATGATACAGCTGAAAAAGGAAGGCTCAAGAGTCGTCACTGAGATGGTCAAGCATTTTGAAAATGATTCGAAATTTATTTCTCTATCCTCAAACCACAACAAAAAAAGTCCGTTTCAGTTTGACGGCAAAGTCTCGCGTGTATCGTTCGAGATATTGAATTAAAAAAAACAGGCTTTTCAAGAAAAATCAAACTTGTTTCGCAAGATGACTCCACTCTGAGAGTCAAGTAGTTGAACAAATCAGCAATCGCTTTGATATTTGTTGCTTGGCAAATGCTTTTCGTTATGTTCATCGCTGCAAAGTTCCACTTTGTCTGGTTTATCGTTGGACAACACCTGCTCGTCAGGTTTATCCTTGAATGATTCCTGTTCGTCAGGTTCTGGGTCAAAGTAAGGGTTGTCCAGCTCTGTAAGTTTAACTGACGAAAGATATTTTCTGCTTTGTTGCTTCTTTATACTTGTCAAGAATTCTTTTCTTTCTTTTGCATGTCGTGATGCCAATTGTGTTTTCATTGTTCGTATGTTTTCATTAAAACTTTCGACCATTCCTTTCAACTCGGCTCTTAGATCTTGACGTAAATCTAAAAAGAATAAAATCAAAAAATAGAGAGAGCATGTACAGTTAATGGTGGTCAACATGAACCTCTTTCCTCTGTATAATTTTCTACCTAAATTAATTAGTGAGAAATATCATGGATATTTGGAGTTTTGTACACCGCACTTAGGGCGGTGTACAAAATTAGATCAGCGTCCTATCAAGAACTGCTAAGTCGCTCCAAACTACCGACGTTGAACAATCGGCGCCTACAAGACATTGCCACTTCGATGTTTAAAGTTAAGCACAGTCTCGCACCTGAGAATATTTCTGACTTATTTAATATAATGAACACTCAGTATAATTTACGGAACAGTGAATTCGAACTGCCAAGATTCGAAACTGTAAGATTTGGTAGGAATTCTATTAAATATATGGGACCTCTCATCTGGTCGAAGTTACCAAGACACCTAAGAACGATAGAAACTCTAAATTCGTTCAAGAAGAACATAAGAAAAGTCGACCTTTCAACTCTCGTTGAAATTTAAAACTTAACTAAATAACTTTATAATCTTTTTAATTATCTACTGTAAATAACTATCATCTACATATGTAAATGTATTTGACTTTTAAATTTTTTTTAGTGTCCCCCATTAGCCTATAGCTAAAAACATAGAGACTTAAATAAAGTTTTTCATTCATTCATGGGAAGAAATACAGAACACTTTACAATATCCGGGGCTTTTCCAAGTCTGTGAAATTTCCAAATTATAAAGCAAGTTGTTATGCGTTGTGCCATGAGCATGGCACAAAGGCGACAATTAGAGTCCTCCCCTTTGATCGCCGGCTCTGCTGTACCACTGAGGCGCAGAGATGGGTGTGGTAGGGCACTAGAAGCTTAGTATATGAGAGGCGTGCTGCATATTGAGAGAATAAAGGCTGATAGTTTCGAAAGAAACTGTTTGGGGCTGCGTCGGTGGGAGTAACGAAATAGTTTGGATATATCAACAAAGTTGAAATGGTAAATTGGCCACCGTAATGATTACAAAAGCTGACGTTTCGAGCGTTAGCCCTTCGTCGGAGCGAATTCGTCGGAATGCATATTGAGAGGATCGTTAAGGTCGGAAATAGAAAAACAAAGGTGGGAATTTTTCCGAAATAAGAGTTGATCTAAAAAAAAAAAAAAAAACCAAGGGAAAGAAAGAAAGAAAGAAAGAAAGGAAGAGATAGAATAACTAGAAAAGCTTAGGATCGCTAGAAATGGAAAGCAAATAACTAAAGGCTTTACGGAAAAAGGTAATATCCAGACAGTAAGAAACCATTTAAAGCATTCAGAATATCCGAGTCTGCATGTAATTACCATGTGATGTAACCTTTGCTCTTAATCTGCAGCGCCGAATAATTTCCCAGATAATGCCAAAAAAAATGAACGATGTGAACCATATGATAATGATATACATGGTCATTTGAAACACTGTGCTGTGACTGTCAAATATCCCTGTTGATCTTTCTATGGAGAGCGGTGCAGCGGGCTCCTAAAACAAAAAGATCAAAACACAATCAGTCATTTATTCAGTCAGTCAATCAGTCTCTCCGTCAGACAGGTACAGATTAAAGGGGCGGGTTTCTAAAGAAACTGTGGTGCTGCGTCGTCGGGGTTTAACAAGATAATTCGGTTGATTAAAACTGGATCATTGGATGACGCAGTTCAAGACTTTTTATTGGCTTAGCCTTTATGGTATATGAGCCAATATACCATAATCAAATATCTGTACATTGTAACATCCGGTTTCTTCTTACAAAATAAAGTCGAGAAGATTTGTCTAATATCTTGAGGGCATTTTTTTTTTTTAATAAAACAATTATTCCACTCGTGCTTGTTGGATATGAGATGATTATAGCCAACTCGGCGCTACGCGCCTCGTTGGTTATCTATCATCTCATATCCAACGCGCGCACGTAGAATAATCGTTAATTAGCCAGATATATGTCAGTCAGTCAGTTAGTCGGTCAGTTGGTCTCTCAGTTTGTCAGTCAGTCTGTCAGACATTTAGTCAGTTAAACAATAATAAAACAATTATTCCACGAGC